ACTGGCTCTAGTTTCTGAGATAATTAATTAATTAATAACGCAACACGTTTGAAAAGCATTCAGAATTGCAAGAATGTTTTTATTTTAGTTACAACTAGTAAGTAAACAGTCTAACATCACACAAAAAAGAAATTAAAAATATCTAACAGTGACAGGAGAAAGTTAAGTATGATTTGATTAAATAATACAATATTAATTACTTATTAATTGTTATTAATGTCAATGACTTGGCAGATTTGATCTGGGTAAATATTCACCACCACAGTAACAACAGCAATAAATGAAAATGCAAACACGCACATGTGAACTTTACTCTAATTTTATTTTCAGACTCTCCTTCAACGCTTCATCATTCATTTCATTACCTAAGACAAGTTAAAGAGTCAAAGAGGCATTTGTTATCACACACAAGTCGCATTGGGGGAATGCATTATTTTCATGGATGTCCATTATCTCAAAAACTAGAACCACTTCAGCAAAATAATGTGATTTTTTAATTCAGCCCCCTCAACATACTCTAAATCCATTCAAAAAAACTTGGCACCTGAATTTTTTTTTTTTTTGTAGACCTGTGTTATCAGGCCCTGTATGCCATCAACAGCAAACACCAGGAGCTGCTGCTCCTCATCCCTTTGGCCCTGGAGCAGCTGCGGCCTGACGGCATCTTCACAAAGCATGATCTGTGTAGTCCATATAACGTAATCTGCTTCCAAATAAGTGGTACCTCAGAACTCGAACTTAATCTGTTCAGAACTCCGGATCAGATCCTAAAAAGTTCGAGTTCTGATAGAATTTTCTCCGTAATAAATAATGGAAAACCAATTAATTGGTTCCTGGCCCCAAAAATTACACCTAAATAAGTTTTTTTTAGCATTTAAACACAAAATGAACCGGATAAAACAAGAGCAGCATATACTGTACTAAACACATCTAAGCACATTTATCAAAACAGTATTTTGATCGTCTGCTCCTTCCGTGTGCCACGCCCCCTCGTTAACCCCATGTGGAATCCCCATGTGATCAGCTGTATTTTAGTATGTATTTTATTATATAATAATAATTACTGTTACTGTCTATCATTCTCTAAATGTATTTTTACTGTCTAAATATGTGTTCAGCTAGTGTAAACATGCACGATGCTATCACAGCGAATGCGAGAAGCCTCTTGACTGAGAGAATATCATCCATCCATCCATCCATCCATCCATCCATCCATCGGTCCATCCGCTGACAGACGTGCCTCTTCACTCATTTCCCAGCACGTACAAGTTATCTTAGGTCGGCGTTCACGGTTTGACTTCTGAGACTCAGATCGAGTTCTAGGTAATTTTTTTTCGAACTGGTTGGTTCGACTTTGAGTTCTAATGAGTTGGAGAACTGAGGTACCACTGTATACCTAAAAGGCAGGGTCATGCAAAATTCGAATAGTATTGCTGCTCCATTGAGTAACTTGCTTAGGCCAAAGGTCCCTTTTGTTTGGACTGAGGCCTCTCAATTAGCATTTGAAAATCACTAAACACTGTTGAGTAGCGGTCCTGTGTTAGCCACCCCTGCTTTTAGCAGAACCTTTAAACCAGACGTTGAAGCAAGTGATGCTGGGCTAGGAGTCATCCTACTCCAGGACGATACCTTATGGGTCGAGCATCTCTGGTTTCCTCTGGTTCTCCACTTGTGGTCTATACTGTTCATAACCTCTTTGGTTATTCTAAACAACATGGAAAATGCTAATCAGTGCTTAATGCACTGTAGTTGGCTTCCACAGAGTTACGAGTTAAAGTTCTGCCATATGTGGGGATGGGACAATGTGCTGGCAGGTGCCCTGTCTAGGTTGTAAGTGTTTATGCACACCTGCATTGCCACACGGGTGGATTAGAGTAATCTAGGTTGGATTAGAGTAATCTTAAGGGTGGATCATATGCCTGTGCACCTATGGTTCAGTGTTTGCACTGGGGGTGGGGGCATATAACTGCCCCACAAAAAAAGAGCACAGGTGACATGTCGTCTGTTTGTTGTGGACTGATGCCACCCCTCCCTCATAGTCAATAACTTTAACCATCGCCTGTTATTGCTTGACTCACCTGTGGTCTGTTACACTGTGCAGACATGTCTCCTGCTCATTGCTGCCACCTGCTGGTTACCTGTAAAGGACCTGGCCACGTGAACCATTCTATGAGATTCTAACAATAATATCTTGTGATGTCTTGGTCCACAGTCCACTGATCCAGAGGGAAATACACTCTACACAGGTTGAGTATTAACCTCCGTCCATGTTTGATAACCACTTTATACAGGTCAGGGAGCATATCTCAGGAAGCATAGGGCACAGTTTTATATATTTATATAATATATATTATGTATAATGCCTTTTAAATATATTCATATTTGCATAATGGTAAATAGACATTTATATAAAAGTAGAGTACAAAAACAGCAACGTCAACTGCAAAAAAGTTCAAATTTATTAGCTTGGCAAATTTTAACTGGGAAAAACACAGAAATCGTTTTAAAAGTTATCATTTACCTTAAAGCAGTCACTGTTAATTATTCAAACATGTAGCTGAATTATTTGAGGAGAGCATGTGGCTCAGCTGGCTTTGGCAGAATAGTCACATATCTGTGGGTCCTCACAAGGCCCGGAAACAGCCCCCCCATTCCCCCAGCTCCATGGGCACCGCTGCAGGTGGCTGCCCTTCACTGCCAAGCCTGCTCTCATCTTAATATCTGTTTTTATTATTATTATTGCTTGGTAAAAGAGGTATAATTACTGAAATTTTACTGATTTTACTCACTNTCAAACAACAAGAATTATAACAACATCAGTGATAATAATAATAATTAATAATGTGACAAATCGGTATTATATATATGTAGCATACACACACGTGATCGTACCCTTATACATGTATATTTCAATTCCTAAATCTATAACATACCATAAAAAGTAATAATAATAATGATATTGATCGCTCAACCACCCTTGTATGTATGTGCAAGTGTAGGTGTGACCTGATTTGTCATTGGATGTGTTGGCATTTGATGCCGTCAGGGGAGGTGGCAGCACCTTACTTTGATGATTTGGCCTTGGTGAAATACTTGGGTAAAATTCTTGTTCAAATTTGTCCCATAGGAACTAAGGTATAGGCCATTGTAAATATCTGTGTTCCTTAGAATGGCAGATTACTATAGGAGCTTTTGCAACGATTTCGACTAGTATTGTTGCTCCATTGAGTAACTTGCTTAGGCCAAAGGTCCCTTTTGTTTGGACTGAGGCCTCTCAATCAGCCTTTGAAAATCACTAAGCACTGTTGAGTAGCGGTCCTGTGTTAGCCACCCCTGCTTTTAGCAGACCCTTTAAACCAGACGTTGACGCAAGTGATGCTGGGCTAGGAGCCATCCTACTCCAGGACGATACCTTATGGGTCGAGCATCTCTGGTTTCCTCTGGTTCTCTACTTGTGGTCTATACTGTTCATAACCTCTTTGGTTATTCTAAACAACATGGAAAATGTTAATCAGTGCTTAATGCACTGTAGTTGGCTTCCACAGAGTTATGAGTTAAAGTTCTGCCATATTTGGGGATGGGACAATGTGCTGGCGGGTGCCCTGTCTAGGTAGTAAGTCTTTATGCACACCTGCATTGCCACACGGGTGGCGGTTTGTTGTGTTCTAGGTTGGATTAGAGTAATCTTAAGGGTGGATCATATGCCTGTGCACCTATGGTTCAGTGTTTGCACTGGGGGGTGGGGGCATATAACTGTCTTGTCCCCCCCGGCCACAAAAAAAGAGAACAGATGACATGTCTTCTGTTTGAACCATTCTACAAGATCCTAACAATAGTATAACTGGGAAAAACACAGAAATCGTTTTAAAAGTTATCATTTACCTTAAAGCAGTCACTGTTAATTATTCAAACATGTAGCTGAATTATTTGAGGAGAGCATGTGGCTCAGCTGGCTTTGGCAGAATAGTCACATATCTGTGGGTCCTCACAAGGCCCGGAAACAGCCCCCCCATTCCCCCAGCTCCATGGGCACCGCTGCAGGTGGCTGCCCTTCACTGCCAAGCCTGCTCTCATCTTAATATCTGTTTTTATTATTATTATTGCTTGGTAAAAGAGGTATAATTACTGAAATTTTACTGATTTTACTCACTNACTGGGAAAAACACAGAAATCGTTTTAAAAGTTATCATTTACCTTAAAGCAGTCACTGTTAATTATTCAAACATGTAGCTGAATTATTTGAGGAGAGCATGTGGCTCAGCTGGCTTTGGCAGAATAGTCACATATCTGTGGGTCCTCACAAGGCCCGGAAACAGCCCCCCCATTCCCCCAGCTCCATGGGCACCGCTGCAGGTGGCTGCCCTTCACTGCCAAGCCTGCTCTCATCTTAATATCTGTTTTTATTATTATTATTGCTTGGTAAAAGAGGTATAATTACTGAAATTTTACTGATTTTACTCACTCCAAAAAATACAACTCACTATGTAAAAAATTCATTGTTTACAAAAAAAAGATCATTTGTAATTGATGGAATTAGTTATTATAAATAATTTTCTAAACAAACTAAACCTTCTATTAGTATTTAAAGGAAACATGGCAGTAGAATAGAATAGAATATATGAATGTATACAGGTGAGAGCAAACGTGGAAGTCACTGCACAGGGTCCTAAAATTCACATAATTTTCTATAAGTGCATTGATTTTTACTTTTATTTCCAGTTGCAAATCACCTAAACACATAATGCCTGCTCTGTGATGGACTGACATCCCCTGGAAGACATACCTTGGCTTGATCTGTGCACTGATCTCCTGGAATCACTGCCTGCTTCTGTCTTTATAATCCCAGATGGTGCAGTTATAGGGCTCACTGGGGTAAAATGAAGGTCCATTCTGTAGTCGGCAGCAAACTGTTCATAGCCAGTAACCATGTTTTGTAGTATTAGTCATTTAGTTAATTGTTTTTGGGATACTTTTAACAGCCTGTTAACCTAGTCAGCACAGTTTGACTGTACTGTCATGGAGATAAAACCCAGGATAGAGGGGCTCAGTGAACGTGGTCTGGACCCTGTGCAGGAGGGTCACTGTGTCAGAGACGCTGTAGAAGGACAGAGTTCCTGCCCTGTGATCCAGGTACACTCCTATCCTGGGGGAGGGGGGGCCAGATACTGCAGTTGCTACATTATTGTGCAGGAATGAGTAACGGGAGCCTGAGCAGTACAAACACCAGGACTTGTCATTGCTTCCAAGCCCGCTGTTGTTACTCCATCCTTTCCTGCTGATCCCTTTATATGTGATGGCTATACCAACCCATCTGCCGCTCCACTCAACCTCCCAGTAGCAGCACCCAGTCAGACCCTCTGTACACAGCACTTGGGTCCATGAGTCAAACCTCTCCTGGTGATCAGGATGTGACTGTATCTCTCTCTTCCATGTCACCACTCTGTTCCCTTCAGACTGACGGAGGTTTCTGTTTGCTGTGTTGGGGTCCAGAGTGAGCTGACAGGAATCTGATTGAGGAGAAGATCAGAAGGTGATGGTTTGGTCTCATTCACTCCTTATATTGAACAAGATTATGTGCTTTTGGGCATGTTGTAATGCTTTGAAATATAAAGCTAATTTATGTAGTATGCTAATATTCTGTAAAGATTTTTCATCGTATGTAATAGCATTTCTTACGTTTTTGGAAAAATACATTTTAGAGGAAGTAATTTATAATATCACTGAAAAAAGCCTTTAGTAAATGTTTTTCTCTCCATTTTTAAATGATAATATTCTCAACCTCACAGAACAACCTCATAAGCACAATAATATTAAACATCAGCAGTTGTGTTGCCAACAGATTCAAAGGCTCCTGACATAAACAGCTCATGTAAATGTGAAAGGAGGCAGCGGGAAAGAGAAAGAGAAGCTCCACTAGCAGAAGAAAACGAAAGACAATAAAACACACTCCACCTCATACAGGGAGAGAGAAGCGTGTGTGTGAACAGACTCACATTGTAAGAATTCTGC